CTCTATTTACATCTGAAAATATAAAAGGGAAAAAAAAAACGATTACCTGAAAGCTGAAATCCAAAAGAGCTTTATAATCCATAATTTCAGGAAAAAATGGATGTTGCAAAAGGTTCAAACATTGTTTTTGCTGCCACATTTTCTTTTCCCACTTTGCAGAACTGATCCCAAGATTTTAGTTTTGCCAGAAGATGGCAGTGATAATCCACCAGAGTGGGTCACCAAGGCAGGCAGCAGGCACGTTGCAACATCCAAAATCTCATAGGTTAATTACACAGCACTCTCATGCCAGGGAACGTGATGATTCAAACAGTATCTAACTGGATGGAAGCACAGCGAGGAATAGAGAGAAACAGAAAAAGAGAGAGTGAGATAAAGAACACTTATGCTTTGTTTGCTAATAACTGTGTCACTGTGATCGCCTGCTGATAATCACCTCCACTCAATATGTTGATACAGTTCCACTGCCTTTGTTTCTGTCTGAGCCCTCATGATTATAATCAAGATCATGCAAATCTGGACAGGTCAATAAAAAGAAACCCAGTGACCTATAGAAAAGATTCCATAACTCCTTTCATTCCTTTGTTTTTGGCTTCCAAGGAGTCAGACTTTGTTGTAATATGCTAAAATGGACTCAATCATTAGTTCTTCTGGGATTCTGAGGCTTTTAAAGTCTTACTTAGACATTAGCTGCATTTTCTTTCATGTTCTGTTCAACCCTGGTGCATGAATGTTTGTTATTATCATACAGATGAGGGTAAGAATTTTGTTTTCTCTTAATAAATCACAAAGACTAAGATGTTTAATGCAGAATAACTAATTTAAAAACTTAAAATTTCACATAAAACTTTGGTTAATATTTGTCTCTATATCATGTTTTCATTTATTAATAGTTCATTTTTGTCTTTACACTCATATTTGTATGAAAAATATGCAGTTTCCTGAAAAAAAAATCTAATGAATTTTCCTAAAACAGTTCACTTCAACATTCACATTTTAAGATCATTTTTATATTAAGGCTGTATGAGGTGGTGCAGGTCTAAGCTGGGATCAAATCGCCTGCCTTTCAGTCTATTTGCAGCTGTTGTACCAGCTCACAAAAAAAGACAGTCTTTCTTCTTCAAAGTCTTGTTAGCAGCTGTTGTGATAAGAAAGCTTTTTGTTGGCAGTGGGGATTACACTCAGGTAGTTGTGTGTTTAACCGACTAGACAGGTGCAAGGTTATTAGCAACCCATCCATCCATCCATCCATTTTCTTCCGCCTATCCGGGGTCGGGTCGCGGGGGCAGCAGCTTCAGAAGGGAGGCCCAGACCTCCCTTTCCCCAGCCACTTCTTCCAGCTCCTCCGGGGGAACTCCAAGGCGTTCCCAGGCCAGCCGAGAGACATAGTCCCTCCAGCGTGTCCTGGGTCTTCCTCGGGGCCTCCTCCCGGTGGGACGTGCCCGGAATACCTCACCAGGGAGGCGTCCAGGAGGCATCCTTACCAGATGCCCAAGCCACCTCAACTGGCTCCTCTCGACGTGGAGGAGCAGCGGCTCTACTCTGAGTCCCTCCCGGATGACCGAGCTTCTCACCCTATCTCTAAGGGAGAGTCCAGCCACCCTGCGGAGGAAACTCATTTCGGCCGCTTGTATCCGGGACCTCGTTCTTTCGGTCATGACCCAAAGCTCATGACCATAGATGAGGGTAGGAACGTAGATCGACCGGTAAATCGAGAGCTTCGCTTTCTGACTCAGCTCTCTCTTCACCACGACGGACCGGTACAGCGCCCGCTTTACAGCAGACGCTGCGCCAATCCGCCTGTCGATCTCCCGCTCCGTTCTTCCCCCATTCGTGAACAAGATCCCCAGATACTTAAACTCCTCCACTTGAGACAGGGCGACCCCCCTGACCCGGAGAAGGCACTCTGCCCTTTTCCGGCTATTAGCAACTTAAAAGAAAATTAGTCAAATGTGCCGTTTTTCCCCCTTAATATTTGGTTACAAAATATAGATAAATTTATTAAAAATGACGTGGTTGCTATGAGGCTTACCACTGCTTCATCTTGCTGTCTGAGTCTCATATCCATGGTAAAAATAAAACAAGAGGAGGAATGACAGAAAAGATGAGCTTTATCCAACAAAGTAAAACAATTTTTTTATTAGTACAGCCTTGTTTTTTTAGGGTTGCACTTTCACATTTAAATGATCTTTTTAACCTTTCTTGCTTCCGCACCAGTTCTCATTTCAACCAGACTTCTCCTTTCCTCATAACCACACCTATCAAACCTTAACCTTTCTGAGCAAAGTGCTTTCACTCCGAGATGATGAGTTTATGAATACAAAACCAAGGGCCTCTCCTCTTAAAGATATGAAACATTCATTTCACAGAGTCACACCACTGATTTAGTTTTGCAAACATGTTTTCCATAAATAGAACAAAAATATCATTTGAATATGCTTACTTGCTAAAAGAGTGCTGCAAACACTATGAAATTATAACTATTCATAGCTTCATTTGGTAATCCTAACCAGTGAAGACTAAAACAACTTTTTGCTACATGTTATGTAAAAAAAATACCAAAAATGACACATGATTAAACCATAGCTCTTTAATTAGTGGATATTCCAGCACTTTTCAGGGATCCTCATCATTGGCTCAGTTCACAAGAAAAAAAAATCCTCCTCACAATTACTAAGTGAAGAGCCATTTGAGTGCCAAAAAGACCCAGCTATTTTTGGTGAACTGAACTAAATGAGCTGGATCCCAGATAAAAAAAGCTGAAATTCCCAACACTTTATCTTTAAGGTTGTCAACTAAATCTTTGCCAGAACAAAAAGTGTTTTAAAATCGTCCAGCCAGGTTTTGTGAAATGTATGAGGAATACACAGACACGACTCCAAGGTAGTAATATAAGGGAACTGTTTAGTTTTTAACAAAATATGGAAAAGGTTTACACAGGCAGGAAGTTGCAGAAGGAAAAAAACTGATTAATACAACCAAGAAAAGAAAAACAAGCTGTAAATCTGGAACAAAATATACACTGAAGTGAAATGACTGAATAAATGCAGATACAGTTTCTTTGCAAAGTTACTTATGCGTGCTAAACTAATTAGCTTTAATATATAAAAAATAATACTTCAAAAAGTTGCAAAATAGAAGAAAAACTTCTATTTTTCTTCTATGGTTGGATTTGCATAATGAATCAATGCACTAGTTTCTCATTAACATGCTACAAGATGTTTCATTTTCCCTTTCTTTTAATTATAATAGATAACCTGAATAGGATTTTCTTGTGTATCATATTTTTGTATGGGCTTCAATCAATGCCTGAATATGACCTAAATAAACCAGCAAAACCCAATAACACAGAGAGCTGTGTGCAATAGACTCTACAGGTTGTAACTACGGGCTAGAATAGCGTTTGTTAACAGGTCTTATTAGTGTCATCATGGTCAGATATAAATAGTATAAAGAAGGCACGGGGAGCTCTTTGCTTTCTAAGTTTTCTTATAAAAAGCTCTCCATGTACCCTCACGATGGGATGCTCTTCTCCCATTAAAATGATAGAAAAGATAGTTTTTTTATAAGACTTTTGTCTAAAAATATAGTTTCACAAGACACACTGAAACATTCCTCTATGTGGTGATAAATAATTACATCAGTGTGTGTGACTAGAAATTAAGACAAAAATATTACCCAGGACAGTCCAATTGCTAACAAGAGTTTGCTTCATCATGCAACCTTCAGTGTTATTTTAATTTTAAAAAATGGATCTTTCAATTTGGAACAATAATATAAGTGTCCCCTGTAGAACTCATGTTGATTAAATAATGATGAATTGAAGACAAAGTCTTTCTAGTTCTATTAGATCAAAGAAGAAATTTCAAAAGGACATGACATAAAATATGACAAGAGCTGAAAGTCCTGGTAGAAAAGGAAAACAGACAGATTATTCAGTAAAAAAACAAAACAAAACCGAAATGCAAATGGACAAGGGATGTCTCCTGTGCAGACTGATCCTCCTCAGTTAGAATCGTGACTGTGGATAAGTAGTGGAGCTAGAATGGCATTTAATAAAAATGACATATATCACCAAACACCTTGCTTCTCTGCGAAATGTCCCTAATTCCTCTCCCTAAAGTGCAGTTTCCTGATCTCACCCAAATTTTCCCAGAATATTCTTAAATCTTCAGGCAATGTGTTTTTCAGCAATACTAACTTAAACGCAATCATAGACATGAGTCAAGTTGTCTCAAATGTCTACAAGCAATTCAGGGTCTCAAAATCTTCAAAAAATGTAGCTTATGATCCTAAGTGACTTCTGTTCCTACTCTCGAAGCTTAAGGTCATTTATCTGTTTTGCTGTTAAAACAAAAATAAAAATCCATGTGTAAGTATTTATAGTATGTCCTAAAACATCTGTAATCTCTGGTTGTATTTGCATAATGAATCAATGCACTAGTTTCTCATTAACATGCTACAAGATGTTTCATTTTCCCTTTCTTTTAATTATGAGAATGAAATCATAATAATACAATAATTAAGTCAAAATATTATGAGAATAATGTCAAACTATTGTAGAAATTTATAGTTATTACAGATTAATACTGATGTTAAAAGCACAACACTAGATTATTAGGGTTTCCTTTTTATAATATTTTTTATATAATGTTTGATCTATCATGTGTTAATTGATATGGAGTAGTTACATTTCCGAATCATAAACAACACATAATTGAACCGTTATGATAACGTTAGGTTGAGCTTATTGGATGAATGCCTGTGATTCAGCCGTAGGTCAGTAGGGGGCGAACTCAGGCATTGAAGAATCGTGTATAAAAAGATGTACTTCCTGACTTTTGGCCAGTGTGGTTTTCCTTGTCAGCCTGGTGTCAAATAAACCTCACTCAGGTTCCAGAATTCTGGTGCATGATTTCATTCCTACCACAAATCATTTTATTTAACAATTATGTTTTCATCTTGACTTCAGTCGTATTGAACACGTATTTTTCTTACAGTTCTGGTGACCTCGACATTCGGCTGACAGTCGACAGCGAGGCTGTGTTGAGGCTGCGGCTGACTAGGCCGGTCGTTGGAGACGCCGTATCGATGCACGTCCTAGGCGCCAGTAAACAGGTGAGCAAATTTTTTTTTTTGCTTTCCATCTTGTTAACATAACGGGACTGTGCGACAATCGGTGTTTCTGCGTAATGGCCTGTGTGTCGGAGCGTTGAAAAGGACCCGCTAATTGTTAGCTAGCTTCTTTGTTAGCATTGCTACACTACACTCACCGGCCACTTTATTAGGTACACCTGTCCAACTGCTCGTTAACACTTAATTTCTAATCAGCCAATCATATGG